ATACATAAAAAGTTAATTTAGATAAGTACTATTCTTCTACAAAAAGAAGGCAGACCATTTATGAGCTGGTTCATATATCAGGGATTATAATTTTTTAATTCTATGATCCTGATATCAAAAACAATCAAACAAAACAACACTATAAGAGAACATATCAGTACCCATCATATATTTTGAGTGAACACCTAAAACCTTAAGTAGCCTTGACTCCCATTTAATTTGAAACATTCAATTATTATTTTATGTTTGATATTCACCTTGTAAGGAAAGCCAGTTCCCAACTATCTCATGTTAAATGTCCTTTATTGTGCTTGCGACGACACTGGACACTGCTGTGGTAATTCCTGCATCTCAGTGTGTGCTGTTCAGAGTGATCACAGGAGGGTCTGGCTTCTCTGGGCCACATCGAAAACTTCTTCCCCAAACTATGACAGCTCCCTGGGGAGAACTGAAGTCTTCTCTACATTACATTCTTTGAGGGTACTTAATAATTTTTCACTTTTATATATTATGTAATACAAGGTCTTTCTTCTTGAAAGATGAGGACTCAGCTACGTTTTTTTCCATCACTAACACACATACATGCACATACACAAACTTCCCATCCTGTCTTTCCAGTATTTTTCTAAAGAACAATACTTAGTGTGGACTTTATTGTGCCCGTTTAATTCTATTCACATTTGAGACAACTAACAGAGTTTTCTTTAAATTTGAATCTTTAAAATACATCAGAGATGCAGAACCATCCTCCTGTGAGCTGAAGAGGTGAGGGTGAGGAAGGTCTGCTCATTAGACACTTTTAATGACACAAATAGGGTAGATAAAGCCCAAAACTCCCCCCAATCCCTTCTCTGCCCCTCCTGGTTACTTTGCATTGGTGCTGCCCTCTGGTGATCACATTACACATGGCACCTCCCAATAAGGTCAAACCATGTTTTCCAACCTGAGGTCACTCTTAGGAGCCAAACCAGAAAAAGTGCCAAGTGAATGTAGGGCTTTTTATTGATAAGTCATTAAGCATTTCAGGGTGTCAAAGGCAGGGTATTAAACCTACCACTGTGTCTTAGTGACTGTACAGATTGTGAACCCATGAAGCTGACCCTCCCCAGCAAGGCAAATGAATGTGTTCATCCTCCAAGTCAATTTCAAGCCAAACTCAAGTCATAAAAACCCTACAGACCTACTACTAATGTCATCCTTAATGGTTTGAACTGTAGGCTTTCTCACTAAAAATGACCAAATGGGCAAGTTTTCTAAATGTCTTTGTAAGACATACGTGCTTTGAGGGGTGGAAGTGGGTGCCTGCTAATGTTGATACTTTAAGACAATGATATTAGTGATACTGGTGACACCAGCAAAAAAATCAGCTGTAATGATGGGCATTTCAAGTAAAGCATTAGCTGTAGGCATGTGCACATCTGTGTTCATCCATGGATCTGCCACATCTATGCGGCTTTTATGGCTTCAATAATCTGGGTTATGCTGGATGTACCCTCTAGAGCAAAGGACATGTTGTGTTTCTATTTCTATTTAATCAATGTTAGGAGAATAAAAGCTGCTTTGTGAAGCCTTTGGTTTGGCCTAATAAAAGAATTACATGCAGAATTCTGGGCTTCAGGGCAAGGGCATGCCTTATACAGCAATATTATAATAGTTCCTGACCAGCTTTTAATCCTTAGAGGAGTCAAATTGTCTAAATGTGACCTGTAATGGGACAAGGTATCCAGAGCTCCTCATTATGATTTGGGTTCTATTGTACCCATGAACATCAAGGTCAAGTGGGAAGAGTGGCACCCATCACAAACAGAAATAATAGATCTGGATTAGACAAGGACAAGTGGCCCAGACCATTGGCACCTACTGCTTCAATATGTGACCTGTCACATAGCTTTCACCATGGAATCACAAAAAGTTCACTGTGACTTTCAACAAAGAAGTCAAAGTCTCCACTCCAAGTTCATTCTGGCCCTCAATTCCCCCTCCCAACCACACATACCGTCAGCCAGTTTTTTGCCCTTCCCCAGGCACCTAGTCAACTTGCTGACACACTGATCTCTTAAAACATGGCTCACTTATTGACTCAGCTGAGGCACATCTCATGTTATGGGATTGAGTTTTAGCTATTCACAGCTCTTCCCGTGCCATGTGGAAACTAAGTGCTCAGACCACACTTTGAGAGCCTGCTGCACACGTTCCCATTGGATCAGAATAGAAATTGGACACCATTGGCCTTCAATCTGGCTCACGCCCTCCAACCTCCCCTGAATTTCCCACCTTTGCGAGGTTCCATCACAACCCTTTTGCTAGCCTGACTACCACCACTCCAGCTCCCTTCCTGACTAAAATTTCTGTATTCATCACTCATAAGTTCCCCACACTTACAAACCTTCATCACTCTTCAGATACCTAGCCCCTTAGGGGATGCTCATCTCATCTTTCCCTTGATTCTTATCCCATGTCTCATGTTTCATAAATTTTGTTGCCTAGCACATCTGATTTTCCCTCTTATACCAATCATAGAACACTCATATGAATCTTCAAGACCTTATTCTTTCCACCAATCCTGTGTCTCTCCCTACATGCCCATCTTAGTCTGGGAGAATGGCTCTCCTCTCTTAACTGTACCAGCTCCAGTAGTTCCTCCCTCATCACTGAGGGCAACCCCTTACTCATATGTCTCAGTCCCATCCTGAGCTCCCTTAACAAAACCTTCCTGCATGGTCTTCTTATGTTGTCTTTAACCCCTACAGTGCCTCATACCCCAAACCCACATGCTGTATAATTTCTCATCAGGACTCTGAGCAGGCCCCATCTCTTTTTGACCCCTCTGTATGCATACCTCTGCTTATCAACAATTCACCTCCAACCAAATCTTCAAGGATTTCAGTCAAATACCTCAAAGGACCCAAGTAGGATTAAAAAGTAGACCAGAAAAGATACTTATTTTCTATTTCCCAAATTCTGAGTGTAGACTCTCTAAAGATAGGTTCATGGACTTTGTAAACACAACAGAGAAATCAAAGTATAAGGGCACTGTTATATGATCTGAGTTCCAGGTCACAGGGGGCACAAAAAAGGGTCTTCCAGTGAAGGCCAGTGAGGACTGATGTGACAGGGACCTGCATGTTTACTAGAGATTCTGGGGTTCATGACAGAATATTTTTCAAGCCTCTGTAATCTTTTCCTTGAAGGTGAGTGAAAAGTTCATGTATAATGAGAACACTGTTGATGGTTAGGCCATTATAGAGGTGTGTAGTTTCACACCTGTACTTTTTCTCAGATTCTAAGACAAAGGCCACTGGTCCCTAGAAAAATTGGGTAGTTGGGTCACCTTTTCCTATGGATGCCAATTCAGAAGGAAAGCAGGAAAACTGGAAACATTTACTTGGAAAATTTAAGCCAGATTTAAAAAAAATTGGAAGATTTGAAAATAAGGTAAGGTTGGAAAACGTGAGTGAGATGAAAAGATCTGCTAATTACAAGTAGGTTATGTCAGGGTGAAATATGCATCAAACAAACTTAAAGAGGCAAGAAAGACTTTATTGAAGACCATGCATTAGCATAGTGAGCCAGAACTCAACACCTCAGAAACAGAAGGCTGTGGAAATTTTTAAGAACAGGAAAAAGAATCAAAGACATCTTTGTTTGCTATTTGGCTTTACAGAGAAGTAAAATTTTTCATAAAATCTTCCCAGGATGTCTTTTTACCTCATGGTGTTAAAGGTTCTCACCCAAGATAGGCTTCTTCCTCCCACAGAGACTGAGACACAGAGACCCAGGGGGATTAAATTTTAAGGGATGGGCACAGGCCCTTGTGACAGATACTCTCTGAATCATAACATGGGTGAGAAGATTTTAAGGAGACCCACATGTATTTCAAACGGGCAAGAAAAGAATCTGCAATTACAAATTACAATTACATTTCTGAAGAAAATGCTCTAAAAATATGCAGGTCAGGGGCCTGCAGTCAGAAAGACTGTGTCTAAAGGTTAGTGACTCAGAGAAACATTAAGGCTTCTAGGTCATAACAAAACTGTTTTCTGTACAGTGGAGGGAAACACAACTACATCTCTTTCAACCAAGACCCAGGTTGCATCTCAGCAGTCCCTGCAATTTATAAATCAGTACAAAAATACCTGAGACTCCTGAACAAAGCCAGGATCTGATCTCCAAGAAGGCTGCGCCTCTGGAGATTTCCATTCAGACATTATATTTTTCCCCGCAGTCACTTTCCCTTTCATCAAATGTAATCCCTAAAAAAGAAGTGTATACTTGATCCTACAACATGGCTGGTGTCACCTGATTTGTCCTAATTAGTTACCTAGGTGCAGAGGAACTAATTTTTCACTACATAATTTGCTCTGATGAAGGTTTTGCTATAAAACATATGATGGGAATTTTTCCACTTGAAGTTAAGAAGCTCACTCTCACGCTTCACCTGCAGTCTTTCTAGCTTTGAGTGGTGTCCTCTTCTCCAAGAGCTACCAAAAGACAAAAGAGAACAAACTTAGCTTCATAAAGTGTGAGTTCATTTCTAATTCCTTGGGCATTTGTCTTAACTAGGACATCTAAGCTAAAGTCCCGGTTTTATTTCCAAGGTTATCTATGATATCTTGTTAACAAAAAGAACAGAAATGTACTGAACTCATGCAAATAATTTTATTGACATATAGATAAGAATATTTGAGACATTATAAATCTTTTGAAAGACATTTAAGAGAAAGACAAAGATCAGTGTTCCTACTCACACGGGTGCCCTCTTGTACATCCCCATTGTCTACAACTGTGTCCAGGTGCCTCCATATCTTTGCATGAAGAAAGGACAAACCTAAAATTCTGTGAGATCATCACCTGCTCCTATTGGTTATCATACGACCACTGCTTATTCTCTGAGGGATACAATGTTACCTCTACTATGGACATGATACAAAAACAAACAAACAAAACAAAACCAACAACCCTTTATTTAGAGTTTAATAACATAGAGGAAGAAAAGGAGGTCACTCAGATTTCACATCCAGCTCAAGGGGAGCACTTTTAACAAAACTGATAGGGTTGGAGACTTCACACTGGTAATACCCAGCATCTTCCCTCTTGAAGGGGTCTATGGTGAGACTTCTGTGGTCCTGGGACAGCTTCATTCTGTCCGTGAACTGCAGATTCATGCCATTGAACAACCAATGGGTGGAGATTGCATTTGTGTAACAGGTCAAGACCACGGCATCCTTATTCTCTGTGACTGTGGTGTTGTTGGCTAGGAGGGCAGGCACTCTCACAGGCTCTGTGGAGAAACAGAGAATGGGACTGACAGAGAATGGGTTTGAGACATGAAGCCACACTGCTTACTCAGAGATGTCCACCACTCACGGTCCATAGTGAGCTATATAAAGGTCACCAAAGTATGGTCCTGTCATTTGCAGAAAGGAACAATGATCTAAATTCAGGTGACAATATGTAAAGAGAGAGCTGCTGTTGGGAAATGCCCCATCTGGTTTCAGGGACTCTATCCTCGCTGACAGGTGAGAGGGCCCCAAGGCTGGAAATAATCAAGGAGGCCTTGGGAAAACAGGCCACTGAGGAGAAAAAACCTGTGCCCCTGGCAGGGGTGCAGCCCCTGCCTCCCTCACATCACCCTGCTTGGCCCTGTGATGGTTGGTAGTCAATGATCGGTATGATTCTTCAAGAGGAGGGACGACATAAGACAGACACGGCTGGTATGGGCAGCAGACAAGGACTTGGGGGACACAGAGAAAGGGCAAATGACCCTCACCCCCCAGCTTTGATATGGCTAGAGTCCTCATTCTATCTGAAAGAAGTCTCCTTATCTCTTGGTGGCTCTGCCCCACCTGCCTGGCTCAGCCTTGAAACAATACTAAAGGCAGGTACAGCCCTAAACTGGATCAGGCAGTTCCCAGGGACAAGCAGGCCTAGGAGTAAGTTCCTTGAAGCACGCTTTGTTCTTCCCTCAAAAGCTATGATAACTGGTTCACACTGAGAAGGAGATTTACATTATTCATAGACCCTGACCTGAGGCAGATCTCTTGGGTTCCTTCAGATGTTATCTAGGATCTCTATTTGTTTTCTGTAAACATAACCTTTTGACATAGATTGATGAGCTTTGCATCCATACCCTCGTGCACACGGTTCTCAATAAAAGCTTTTGGATGCGGGGGCTCGGGGCCTTCTTCACTAGAGGGAAGAGCCACGTCCTCTCTCCTGGCAAACAGAGAAGTGTTTGCGACGACTCGTGTTTATTCCCCCTTCTCCGTGACAACCCCAGGACGGGCTCTGTGGAACTCAGAGCCCTGCTCCCACCTCAGCTGGCTCCGGACAGTAGCCCTCAGATCCAGGATCTCTGTGCTCCACCGCAGCACTCCCGCCGACAAGCTGCACCTCCTCCTGACCCTATACAACCTCAGGGTGATTCTATATCTGTTCCCTCAGACATCTCTGTAGTAGCAGCACACAAAACCCCTTCCCAGTGCTTATGACTCATAACCTCATCATCAGGTATAATTTTTCTCTCATGAGCTTTATTGATTTTTTTACTAGAACTTTTTTTTGACTTTGCAAAACATCAGATCCCACTCCCTATGTAAATATTTATATATGTTGAGGAAAGTAAGCTTACCACCTTTTTCCATCTACAGGGTCAAAGGAAGTTTATAGTAAGTGTAAAAGCATTTAACTTTTGTTAAATAATTTACTAGTCAGTAAAGATGGCCCAATACAATGTTCGTGGCTGTAGGCCTTGAGGATTTCATCTAAAACGCTTCTCACTCTGAACGAGACTTTATTTCCTTGCTGGCTGATTCAATTATCATGATATAATTAATCCATGGTAGAGGGAAGTAGTTATGGTTTTAACATAAAATATTGACTGTGGGAATAGAAGAAAACTATTCATTATAATAAAGGCCATACATAAAAGCCCAGAGCTAACACAATATTCCACTGACCACCTGACTTCCTGGTTGACCAGAAGCCTTTCCTTCCAGCTGCACAGACTTCTATTGCCCAGCTGAGGTGTGTTTCTATGAGACACCATGTCCCATGGCGTCTTACGCTGGGGTTTGAGCAGAACTAACACATAAAGAGCAGAAGCAAGCCAGTGGTAAGTTGACTACTTAGGCCGCTGGGCAAAATTATGGGTCAGGTCTTGCCAGGTGAATGTGACTAAAATGAACCAGTGAGGAAATTAATGATAGATAAAAGTCCAAGCAATGATTTAGCAAAGAGGAAAAAGGACAGCCAGAAGCTTATTATAGCAGCAGAATCATATGCTCTACCTTGATCACTAAAAGCATTTTTCTCTCCACTGAGGGCAGGTGAGGATGTGTGCAAATACAAAATGAGTGTTACAGTAAGTGGACACCATGGGCTTGCTGAAATTCTGGTGCTTGAGGGCAATTTGTGTTAGGTGGCTATGAGACAGAAACTTGGAAAAACTAAAATTTTTCTGTATGTAAACATTATTATTAACACCCCAGGGTCTAAGGCCAATTGCAAGAAGGACTTTGCTTAAAGAAGAGGAAAAAGGATCTCAGATGATGGTCTTAGTTTCTGGAGGCACATAAGCCTGTTCCCTGTGGTAAGGATTCCAAGGACTCTGCATCCAGGTTCCCAAATCTGAAGAGATTTTAAGATCCTCCCTCCCTCCCTCCCTCCCTCCCTCCCTCCCTCCCTCCCTCCCTCCCTTCCTTCTTTCCTTCCTTTCTTCCTTCCATAACCACTTATTTCTTTCTAATTCATCAAAATCAACTGAGTGTTTGTTACATGTTTGTCCTGAGCTGCCTTCAGGGGTAGAGTGGGGAGTGAGAAGGCAAAGTCCTTTCCTTTATATCCTCTGGGTGTGACTGCACCACAACAGGAAACAAATAAGTGATGTCAAGTCCAGTGCAGGGAGGAGTCGCAAGGCCACCTGAGGGGGAGGTCTGGGTATTCTATGCAGTGACTGTTAGTGCAGCTACTTTGGTTCTAGAGTAAAAATAGATTATGTCTCTAGTTTTTCACTCCACAGACCAAATTGTATTCCTATAGCTGACAACGCTTAATAAAAAAATTTTCTGAGCCATTTTGTTGGTTTAGGAATACAAAGACCCCCTCATGTGGCCCCCGAGGTAGAGAAATTAAGTCTATGGCTACAGACAAAACTCAAGTGACTCTGATTAACTGCTCATGGTCTGTGTGACTCTGCTTTAGTGACTGTGTCTCCGTTTCTCAGCTTATTCTCAATGAATATTTGGCTGCCTGGTTGTCAGTGTATTAACTGTAAAATATTTACAGTATCTGACCTTAATCTTGGGAAAGGCGAGCTGCTCAAATAAAAGGCATCTGTTATTGATCAACTCTAAGAGAGAATCCTCTGGGCTGATCCCTCCTGAATAAAAAGTTGCCAGGAGCATCTTCTTGTTCTCAGTCTTCCTGGGGATGCTGGCCTTTATCTGATCCTTTGTAAGTCCCCCAGGACAGTCAGTTATATTCAAGGACATTGTTTAACTGTTCTCTCTACACACAGATTCAGGTGATAGACCAAACTGCATTTCTGCCAATAAGTGATTCTTGAGTCTGAGCCCTGGCTGGTGACTGGTTCAGGAGCCTTGTGACTTGGGCACCCATTCAACTGGTACACACTCAGCCCTTCTTAGGAGGCCAAACCCAACCTGGCACAGGATCACCAGGGTCCCTGGAGTCAAGAACCCGGGGACAAGGTTCTTGCAGTGGGTTTCTGAGTTGAGCTCTGTAAGAATTTCAGAAGGCCTCTTAGACTGTGCCCTGATCTAGTACAGCAGGGTCATTCTCAGGTCAAGGTCACAGGCTGGTGCTCAGGGAGTTTAACTGAGACTGGTCTTCCTCTGCTGAGTTAGTCCCATCAGACTGATCCTTCTGTCTGCAGTGACTGCCTGCAGGGTTGGAATTTGGAAAGAGAATGGAGGTCTTAGGAAGTTTGTTTACACTCTCTGTATCCTGCTTTTAATGTCAAAACTCAACCTGAAACAAAATGCAGAGGGAAATGGTGGCAGAGTTCAGAATGATCAATCCTGTGTGTGAAGTAGAATTCACCCCCCACCCCGCCCCGACTCCCAGAGGTCAGAGAGCAATCACTCACCATATACATTAAGCCTTCCAAATCCTATTTCTTTCTTTGAATCTTCAAGGTAGACGACTATGGTGTACATTCCTGTGTCTCTCTTGGTGACCTCCTTTAACAGCAAGGATCCATCATTGTTTATTCTCTCTTGGCCACTGTGTGCTGGACCTCTTAAATGTAAATTTAATTTTATTGCAAGTAATGCAATTACACGATTTTTGTTTGCTCCTTCCCCCCTGTACCACACGAAGGCTATAACATCGGGAGGCTTATTGCGGATATGTAGAAGCACCTCCTCCCCTTCGGCAGCGTTGGTGGACACAATAGCAAGCTGGGCTGTGGTGGGTGGGTTCCAGAAGTTTAAGAGTGAGACTAGGAGATAAGAAAGATAATTGATCAATATTTGTACCTAAGTATTGGGTTGGAAAGATGAAGCCCTGAATTCTGAGCAGGTCCCTTTTTCTTTCAGCCTGGCCTGCATGTCTCCCATGGTAAAGGTCAACAGCATGGTCCCCTTACTTCATCACCTCTGAAGCTGTTATTTTTTCTGTTTCAAATATTCTCCAGGTGTTTGCCTCAGTTACACTCTCCCTGTGCTCAGAACCCTTCTGAAACTCTGGGGCATTTTTGAAAGACACCTTTGCTGACCACCATCTCTAAAGCTTCTCTGCCTTCACTTTCTGACTTTGCCTGCTCTGATTTTTTTCATGGCACTTGTGTGTACCTGACAACACATCTAGATCTTGCCTTGTCCCTCTCTCTTTCGTAGAACATGGACTTCATGTGAGCAGGGCTTGTCTGATCTTGTATCTCCTGTGACTGCAACATCTTGAAAATTCATGGGGTTGAATGAGTGAGTTCTCTACCTCCTGGGGTTTATTTGCCCATTTCTGAGGTTTGTGGTAAAGAAAATGTCTAGCACCCCTGGTTAATTTCTTTCTGGTGTTTCCTGACATAAATCAATGTTATTATAAATTTTCATAATCCAATACTCATTGATGAATAATAGGAAACAAACAGCAGCCCAGGTTTTCATGTTTCTCACCACTTCCAGATTACAAGATTATCCTCTTGCTGAGTCCCCTTCCCTACCCTACTCTGCTCCTTTGTCCTTTACCCTCAGGTCCAAACAGGTCTGCTGTTTTCTCAGCGCACTGGTCTCTTCAGCAGATCTCAGGCAGTTTCTGTGTGTCAGATCCTTCGTCTCCCCCAAGCAATTGTCTCCTACTTACCAGCCAGCAGGAGCCCTTGCCAGGGGACAAGTCCTCTGTGGGCAGAGACTGTGGGTAGAGATCCCATGGTATATGTTGCCTGCTCTCTGGCTCCCTCTTTGAGAACAGTTTGAGGTCCCGTAAGGCTCACAAGCACCTGTGTCCAGACTGGTGCAATCTGCTGTGTGTCCTAGTTGTGTGCTGAGCTTTATTCTAGGGCAAGATTACCATTCTTGTCATGTGAGTTGGGGGCAGGTCTGGGCACAGGACCCTCCCACTTCCTGCCCTCATTTTTGCCACCCTTGTCCCTGTGCACCAGTGCTGCTTTCCTGTATTTTGCTTCCCTGGGAACTCCTGAGGCCTCTCAACACCACACACACACACACATGCGCGCGCGCGCGCAAACACATGAACACATGCACACAAAACACACGCAAACAACCCCTCTCATGTTGTATTTGGAAAAGCATAAGCCTGGGGTGTCTGGGTTTTGCGATCTCCCCACAGCTTCCTCTCAGGTGCCCAGTAGCATTTCTCACAGCCTCCTCCTTACACATTTGACTTTTCCCTCCAGAGCATGAGATCTGGAGCTAGCACAGAGAAACCTGTCACAGGGACGTCACTCCTGCTGTGCATCAGATCACTCGTGAAACATTGTAAACATCACAATGCCCAGGTGACACTTTAGAAATGCAGCCTCAGCAGCTCTCCAGCTACTGTGGGTGCCCATTCAAGATGAGATCCCTTGATGTGAAGATAGAACCATGTCCCCTGCTGTCCTGGGCACGGGGGAGTCTCCAGGTCCTGTCGAACGGCGGAGTCTGACAGGGGTGCGGTGGGTCAGGGACTCTGCGCCTGAGGAGCCCTCAGGAGACGCTGATCTTACGGGCCTCTGGAGGGCAGCTGCAATGGGTGCACATGTGCCCCTGAGATGACATGCACCGACGACAGCATGGCCTCTGCTGGGTCTTGGTCTTGGGTCTGTCAGCACCACACGGGGAGCCCCCGGTGTCCTCAAAGTGGCGGTTATTTCTGTTTGTGACACAGAAACCCCGCTGGCACCAGGTCTTCCCCATGTTCTCAAAAGCTCTGAGGTTCTATGTCCTCCCACAGGAAGGTAACAGACATAACTCTGGGGGTCAGAAGGGGTCAAGCTGGGTGACAACGGCAGAGGGTTCCCTTCTTCTGGCTCAGGGTGTCACCAGACTGGATTTCGCTTCCAGGGACAAAAACTGAAAAACCAGAAATCTCAATAGGACCTGCAGTTTTGGGGTGTGAAGGTGGAGGTGTCCTGCGTGTCCTAGGAAAAAAAGGGCTGTGGTGAAAATTCAAGTGCTTTTGGGCTTCCTAGTTTTCAAGGGATGGTTTCAGGGAGACTATTCCCCTCTATGTCTGTTTCTTAGATTTGTCCCTGTGATCTCTGACTGTTGGGACAAACTCTGATTTGTGCCTGGGCACATTTCTTGTGCTCACCTCAGCTTGCCCACGGGTGGTGCCGGGCCTGGGGCAGAGAGCAGCACAGACACCCCTGAGGGAGGAGGGGCTCCCAGGCCCTGCCAAAGTAAGAAAAAGTCCAAATCTGTACAGCAATTTAATGAGTTTACCTGAGCCAAAGTGACCTTATATGCCTGGGAGCAACATCTCAAATCTTATGAAGAAAGGCAGTTATGTAGCTTATTTTATGCATTACAATCAAAGTAGAACATGAAAAATATTGCATAAAATCAATATGCAGTATTTGTGAGAGAAAACATAGCAGGAATATCTCTGGAATTGGTAAAAGAGGCAAATGGAGAAACATGTTTTTTGTACATTGGTGGGTACAGGATAATTAGTGTTTAGAAGACACAGAGGGGGTGTGCAGGGAACAGATAACATAAAAGATTCTGTGGTCTCATACACCTGTCCCAGACTCCGTGACTTGAATGGTCCAGCAAAGAAAATCATTCTGATGTGTCAAAGTTATGCTATCCAAGTTGTACTAAAGTGGATCAGGGCTCACTTAAAGTAAACATTGACCTTTGCTAAGGAAAATATAGGTGTGGGACATGACAACCTGCTACCAGCTGCCTAGTTAGAGCTTTCTGACCAGAATGTCCTGTGAGGCTTGTCAGGTCTGCCACGGGGCCCCCTGAGCTTGTCAGGGTCACTGCACAGCCCCTCTCTGTTAACAGCCTCTAGAAGTAGCAGGTGGGATGGACCAGTCATGAGGGAGGGCCTGAGAAATGACTGATGAAGCAGGGGATGAAAATCAAGCTCTTTCTCCATATTCTTAACCAAAACCCATTTCCTGTGTCTAGTCCTGTGTGTCTCTATGTGTTGCCACACAGAGGGCGGAGTAGACCTGCAGCCAACGTCAGGTGCGGCAGGGGGAGGCTGCCCCGTGCAGGGGGAGCCCAGTGAGAGGACAGGCGCTGCCCAGAGCACTGTGAGTCCAGTGGCAGGCGAGCTGTCTCACCAGGGGCAAGAGCTGTTTCAGACAGAGCTCTGCTTTCAAGTGTTCAAAGGAAGGGCCTGGTGAAGGTTCTCCTGAGGCTTTTGGGAGAGGGTGCTGGCCGGGAGGTTTGATCCCCAAAATGCCCTGTGTGCCCTCCATCCCTACAATGGGGTGCTGCATATAAGTCAGTTTTGTGTCCCTGTCTGCCCACAGGGCCCAGGAGCTGGAGCAGCTCCACATGAATATACTCAGGGCAGAAAGGTTCTCATGGGACCTTCAGCTCCTCTATGATGGAAGCGACCACAGATTCTGGGGTCTCCTGTCCCGTCATGCACAGGAAGTTTCCCTTTCTTGCCAGTGCAGCATGAACGAGACAGGTACCTTCAGAAACAACAGACAGGTGTCCCAGAGACCAGGAACTCTGGGAATGGAAAGGTATCTCTAGTGGTTACTGAGCATCTGTCATGTGTCAGGCTCCTGGCTGGGCCCCAGAAAGTCCAAAAAGAATAAGACATGTGTGAGCCCTGTGCTGATTGAGTTTACCCTGTAAGAGAGACAGACCCTCAGATAATCATGGTTCTAGGGGATTAATTATTATTCAGTGAAGGGCCATTAAAGAATACTTCTGGTGCACACACAGCATGTACTTGAGACCTGAAGAGTTAGTGACCGCTTACCCCTTGAGAACAGAGGGTGTTACAATGGAATACTACACAGCAGAAAGAAAATAAGAGCTGCCACCCTTCATGACAGCATGGATGGAACTGGAGGACATTACGGTAAGTGAAATAAGCCAGGGGGTGAAAGACAAATACCATATGATCTCACCTATAAGTGGAACCTAATCAGCAAAGGAAGCAGGCAAGGAAAGTGTGACCAGCAACACTGAAAGAAAGAAGAAACTGATGGGGACGGGAGGGAAGGAGCGAGGAGCGTGACAGGGAGGGGAAGGGGAAGGGTCAGATCCAGGAACAGGTGTGAAGGACACACTGACGAAGCCAGGGTGGGGGATTGAGTGGGGGTGGTGGGGGTGGGAGGGGCAGGGGAAAGTGGTGGCGGGTAAAAGGGGACAAATGTGTTTGAAAAATTGAAAAAAAAAAGAAATTAAAAAAAGGATAAAAAAAAAAGAACAGAAGCTGTTAAAAAGAAAGGCTGCCTGCATTAGACTGACCTTTGGTGGGCTGGATGGTGGAGCAGACAGAGTCCAGTATGGAGAGACTGAAGAGTTAGAAAGACTGTGTAATGATTGATGCTGGTGAGGTCGGGCCCTGCTGGGCTGTGGGTGCTGCTGAAGTGGGGCCAGTGGGGCCCCAGAGAGGCTACAGCCTGTAGAGTAATTCTGCCGCCCCCTGGTGGACAAGCGGAGGGTGAGAAAATGTCATGGTACAGAGATTTTTATTTTTTGCTTTATACATTCTTTTCAACTTATTCTTTAGGCAATATTTAATATATGCATATATAATTTATTATATTTATAGAACTATCCTTTAACATAATAAGCTTTATATATTGAAAGTATACAATTTGTGAAATTTTTACAGATGCATGCACCAGAGTTGTTACAATGAACATAAATATCATGTCCCTTACTGTTAAACTCTTCTCATGCCCTCTTGTAACCTCTTTATTCATCTCCTCTTCACCTCCTGTTTAGTTTAAGTAAACTCTCATTGGCTTTTTTTCATTTTAAATGTATTTGCATTTTCTGGAATTTTGAAAAATTTTATCATAAAGTATGTAATTTTAGGCCTAGGTTGATTTCTCAGCTCAATACAATATTTTGACATAGTTCTCTCTCTTTTTTTTTTTATTCTCTAGGTCTGTCTCATTCCAGGGATACATTAATTTTGTTTATCTATTCACTCTTTTATGGACATTTGTGCTGTTTCCAATTTGGGGCTATTACAAATAAACCTGCCATGAACAATTATGCAGAAAAACCTTTAACACAAATAACCAGTGCTTGTGAAACCACTGAATAGCTAGGGAAATGGAAGGCCGGGAGTCACCCCTGGGAGGCTGGTCTCAAGGTCGCACAGCCACAGCGCCACCCAGAGGGAAAGAAACATGCGCTGCTTCGCATAAAGCTGTGTCTGCCAAGGCCACGCATCTATTAAAACAGTAGCAAAAATAAAGGCCCATGTCCTTTCCAGCTTCTAAATTAAGAACCAGTGCACCTCAGAAACTGCTTTTAATTCACATCTGGATTCTCAGTCACTAGGACTGGGGAAAGGTACTTTTTAACCTTTCAATCCCTCTGATACAAGGGAAACCTACAAAAAAAAAGGAGCGTAGATGCCAAGTGCCAATAGACAACACATGGCATATCTGAGTCACTTACAGGCTGTGTCACTCTAGGTGAGTGACCCCACTGCAAGAAGTCTCAGGTTTTTCATGTGATGCCATAAAAACATGTTTGGTATTCTTTCTTGGATTTTAGAAAAGAGCAGCTAAACTTGTTGGAATTTTCTAAGTCATAAGGGTGATAAGAATGTCTTTTGTTGTGGTGAGGCAACTCTGGGCAGGTCTCTGGCTATTTGTAGAAGGAGAGCAGGTCACCAAAAGGCCAAGTTTTGATTAGAAGCTTGGAATTTCCAGCTGTCAACGTAAGAAATGTTTAACCTGACAAGAATTTTTATGAGTCTTCTTGGGCCAAACATGACGGTAATTCCTGGAAAGCAAAATCACAATGGATTGGGAAGATATTTGGAGGGACGGCAACGTTGTTCCTTATTTTATACAGTGCAGGGAAAGCTGGAGGCCTAAGGGGTTACATGAAATCCATTGGCAATACATTAAGGAGTTGGAGAATGCAAAGTACAGAAATCTCTGAGGTTGGGTAGAAAGTAAAACAGACACATGCAGCTGTTGTGTTTGTTGGTGCAGGAAAGGTAGCAGCTAACAACTAACACAATAAGAATAGTAATGAGAAGGTCTGTGGTCTCTGCTGTGGTGCAGTGAGGGGTCTGGAAAAAAAGAAAATTACCCTGACATTCTAAAGGCATGTTATGGTAGAGGAAAAAGAAAACACCCTAAGTTAAGGTAAAGACTGACTTTTGTCAGGAAAGATATAGGCTAGGACATGGCTACCGCCATCACTCACTTTTGGTTAAAATTTTAATATCAGACCACCCTATGTGGTTACTTTAGGTCTCTGAGTTTGAAAGTCCCACCATGCAGACCTCCCCTGAGCTTTTCAGGTCTAGTATGTGGCCCCTTTTAGTCATCAATCATTCTAAAGAAGGCATCGGTGACCAGTCTTTTAGTTAGATGATATTGTCTCACAGTGCTAGGAAGGGGTTTTTATGAAGTTTTAGTGGAAGCGTTTATCTTGCTGAACAATAAACCATTGGTGAAGCAGGAAGACCTTAACCTGGGGTGGAAGTCAAAGCCACATGGTCTCAAAAGTGAAAAGGATGCAAATGGGAGGCAGTCAGGTCCCACAGGCCTTTATTAGAAAAACTATCTGGATCATTCCCCACCTATAAGCCCTCACGAACTGAGTTTTGCTGTCTCATTTCTCTGTATTCTGCATCTTGTATTATATTTACTTATAGTTTAAGGGTACACTGTACACCAATCCAGTTTTAATCACTTGGCCATGAGATGGGGTCTTATTTACTATGGCCCACCTATTATTCTATGTTCGTTATTCATTATTAATCTGATTTCTGCTAGTTGTACACTTGGAAGTGACAACCTCAAGGTTTATTTGGAAACCAGGCTGTAAACACAAAACGCTGTAAATGACAATTACCATCTAAAAGTTCCATGGGTGAGGAGGACAGTAAGAGTTTTGTAAGTAAATTTCCTCTGCCTCAGCAGCAGGTATAGGGGTCCATGTTTTATAGCCACTTCAGCTTCCATTTTAATTAATATAGTTAGTGGTCCCTATTGAGTTAGGGTATGACGGCATTCACATGATTAGGTTCTAGTATTTATTCACAAAATTCTTTTCTCAATATTTTTATTCCAGTAACCATCTACAACTTTCCTTGATCCTCATTTCTTTTCACTCATTCAGAAACAACCAACTTAGTAGGACCAACTACATACTTTTTTTTTTTTAAGATTTTATTTATTTATTTTTAGAAAGAGGGGAAGGGAGAAGGAAAGAGAGAAACAAACATCAGTGTGTGGTGCCCTCTCAGGTGCCCCGTACCAGGAACCTGGCCTGCAACAGACATGTGCCCTGACTGGGAATATAGAAAGGGGAAGGCATGGAGAGAGGGAGAGAACATTGACTTGAAAAAGAAACATCAATGGGTTGCATCTTGTGTGGACCCTGAGAGGGGACCAAGCCTGCAACACAGGCATGAGCCCTGACCTCTAATCAAACCAACACTGTTCTGTTCTGTGGGACAATGTCCTACCAACTGAGCCACACCAGTCAGCTAGAAATCATGACAGCCAGCTGTGGGAGCAAGATATATATTTTCTCTCTTTTTTTCAATTTCTTTAGCTTGCGTATTAATCAAATTAACAAAGACAGATTAACAGAAGACAATATATGAAGTGTATTATATAAATGAATATTCTGAAGTGTAAAATATAGGGACCCAAAGAAGTATTGAGTAGTTAGGACTTATATACTATTCTGAAGATAGAGAACAAAAAGCATTGTGAATTGAGACTTCAAAATTAAAAAGAAAAAAAAGAGCCATTGAGTGGAGATTCCAAAGCAAATGAATGGCAAATAAACACTTGCTTGGCATTTCCATGTGAATGTTCCTCCTTCAGCTCGTCCTCCATCTAAACACTTTCTAGGCATTTAAGAGGGTTCAGAGGTACCCCCCCAGCCCAGCCTTCTCTTTCCAATAAAAACATCAGAATCAATATCTTAAAAGGCACATCTGGGGAAACAACTATGCTTCCATTCACAACACAGCTATGGTGCTTAAGCTGCTTTAACATGTCTATCTGAAAGCTCAGTTCTAATACACCTAGGCACTTAATTAAAGTAATTGGGTACCTAAATTATTACCAAACAAGATAAAATACTGAAACATAGCACTGTCATTTTAAGTCTATCAACTTTTGACTTCTAATTACAGACAATTTAAAAGATATACTGGAGCCCTCGCTGGTGTGGCTCAGTGGACTGAGTGCTGGCCTTCGAAGCTAAGGGTTGCCTGTTCAATTTCCAGTGTAGGGCACATGTCTGGGTTGCAGGCCAGGTCCCCAGCAGGGGGGGCATGAGATGCAACCACACATTGATGTTTCTCTCCTTCTTTCTCCCTCCCTACTCCTCTCTAAAAAAGAAAATAAAAGAAAAAGATGTACTGGAATCTACCCCCCCCCCCCAAAAAAAAATCTCTGCTTTGGTGTTCACAGATTCCCTAACATAGGGACCTTAATTCCTTAATTCCTAGGATGAGGAGGGGATAGAGAACCTGTTTGAAAAAGTCATGATGGAAAACTTCCCTAATTGGAGGAGAGAAAAAGTCACACAAATCCAGGAAGCACAGAGGGTTCCATTCAAGAGGAACCCAATGAGGCCCACTCCAAGACACATCATCATTAAAATGGCAAATATCAAAGACAAACAGAGAATCCTAAAGCAAGCAAGGGAGAAAGAGGTTGTAATATATTAGGGAGCCCCAATACGGCTAGCAGCTGAGTTCTCAACAGAAACCCTGCAAGCCAGAAGGGACTGGCAAAAAATATTTCAAGTCATGAAAAAGAAAGGCCTGCAACCAAGACTGCTCTACCCAGCCAGGCTCTCAGTTAAAATGGAAGGCAAAATAAGGAATTTCCCAGACAAAAGAAGGTTAAAAGACTACACCTCCACCAACCCAGCACTGCAAAATATGCTAAAAGGACTGCTTTAGATGAAGAAAAAGTTTCAATGAATACCCAGTTCCCTTCAGAGTTGCCAATACTTGATATTACCAATATTTGTAATACTCATTAATCTGATTGTGACAATGATGTTATTTTAATTGTTCCTTTACTATTTGTTGAACCTAAACCTGTTTTAGTATATTTCTTGCCTATTTCTATTATTTAAAAAAAAGCTTTAAATGACTTTTTGGTTTTCTTTATCCATTTATTGATTAAAGGTTTGTAGAGTTCTTTTTCCCTAAAATTAGAAAAACCTATTAACCATGTTTTAGATGTGTTGCAAATACTTTTCTATTCTATTTCTTGTCCTTTAAATTTTTTATATGTATATTACTATATAGTTAAATATTTAATATAGTCATATTATCAATATTTATAACTTCTGGGTTTGAATATTTTACTTCAGGTCATGAAAAATATTAGTTTTATTTTCTTCTAAAACTCTTTAGATTCTACATATTGATTTTTAACTCACCTGAATATTTCTTGTATAATGTGTGAAACAGGGCTCTATATCTGTTTTATTTCAAGTAATAATGGTCCATGCACCTTATTTGTTGAATAAGCTTTATTTTCCCCATTGATCTGAAATATCGATTTAATCATATATTACATTGTTAGACAGATATATACATTTGTTTCTAGAATGCTCATTTTATTTCATTGACCTACTTCATTATTTCTGTGCTGTTGTCATGTTGTTTTAATTGCTGAGACTTTATAATGGATTTAAATTTTTAAATTTTTTATAATGGATTTTGACATTTAAAAAAAATAAATAAAATCAGTCTGCATTTAAGAAAAAAAGAAAAAAGGAAAGACCCTGAGCACGAAAAGTCCCCGGCCCTCTTTCTTCTTGTGAAGACGTAGCTGCTGGTGGCTGCGGTGGTGGCGTTCAAGATGTCGACCAAGAATTTCCGAGTCAGTGACGGTGACTGGATTTGCCCTGACAAAAAGTGTGGAAATGTGAACTTTGCCAGAAGAACCTGCTGTAATAGATGTGGCTGGGAGAAAACAACTGAAGCTAAGATGATGAAAGCAGGGGGAACTGAAATAGGAAAAACACTTGCAGAGAAGAGCCGAGGTCTATTTAGTGCTAATGACTGGCAGTGTGAAACTTGCAGTAATGTGAATTGGGCCAGAAGATCAGAGTGTAACATGTGTAATACCCCAAAGTATGCCAAATTAGAAGAAAGAACAGGGTATGGTGGTGGTTTTAATGAAAGGGAAAATGTTGAATATATAGAAAGAGAAGAATCTGATGGTGAATATGATGAGTTTGGACGTAAAAAGAAAAAATACAGAGGGAAAGCCGTTGGCCCAGCATCTATTCTAAAGGAAGTTGAAGATAAAGAATCTGAGGGAGAAGAAGAGGATGAAGATGAAGATCTTTCTAAATATAAATTAGATGAGGATGAGGATGAAGATGATGCTGATCTCTCAAAATACAATCTTGATGCCAGTGAAGAAGAAGATAGTAATAAAAAGAAATCTAATAGACGAAGTCGATCAAAATCTCGATCTTCATATTCACGATCTTCACGCTCATCCTCCCCCTCAAGTTCAAGGTCTAGGTCCAGGTCCCGTTCAAGAAGTTCTTCCAGTTCCCAGTCAAGGTCTCGTTCCAGTTCCAGAGAACGTTCGAGATCTCGTGGGTCGAAATCAAGATCCAGCTCCAGATCGCACAGGGGCTCTTCTTCCCTAAGAAAAAGATCTTATTCAAGTTCATCGTCATCTCCTAAGAGGAAGAGAAAGAGAAGTCGTTCTAGATCTTCATCTGGTGATCGCAAAAAAAGACGAACAAGATCACGGTCACCAGAAAGCCAGGTGATTGGTGAAAACACTAAACAACCCTGAACCCAGGGCCAACCCCTCGGAACTCCACTACTTTACCCAGGCACCACAGGTCATCTTCTGCATCATCCCATTCTGGTTCCCGTTCAAGTTCAAAAAAGAAATAATGTATTAAAATTTATATCTTTAAAAAAATTTCAGTACAGTGCATGAAGCATATTTTTTAAGAAGTTCGTGTCTTACTTGGTCAGAAGTGCTAGTAGAAGTGCATGCCTTTCATTGCTTTTCAGAACAATAGAGCTGTGTTTATTTGTGAAATTAAAAGTAAATAGTATTTTAAGCCATAATGTCCCCAAAGAGAGGCTGTATTTATCATTCTGTGTTTACAACTGTTTTTTATTTAAAACCATCTCGGCTATAACAAAAGTATTTTCTTCTTCTCCTTCTTCTCCTTCTTCTTCTTCTTCTTCTTCTTCTTCTTCTTCTTCTTCTTCTTCTTCTTCTTCTTCTTCTTCTTCTTCTTCTTCTTCTTCTTCTTCTTCTCCTTCTCCTTCTCCTTCTCCTTCTCCTTCTCCTTCTTCTTCTTCTTCTTCTTCTTCTTCTTCTTCTTCTTCTTCTTCTTCTTCTTCTTCTTTCCTTCTTCTTCTCCTTCTCCTTCTCCTTCTTCTTCTTCTTCTTCTTCTTCTTCTTCTTCTTCTTCTTCTTCTTCTTCTTCTTCTTCTTTTTTTACTTTGTTTCCTAATTTGAACTCTGGTTTTTCTCATTTCCAAATATGAACTGTTTATTGACTTCAGATTACCTGAGGCTTGCCTGAACTTCGGGCATGGTGGCAAGACTGGTGAAGTAGCCACCCTGTTCATGTTAACCTTTGTCAAAGTGATTCTGACCAGAAAAAGTTAAACTAGTTATAAAACAGCCAACTGGAAACTTCATTTTGAAATTCCCTATGCTTAGGGTGCCTTAGAATCATTGCTTTTTATGGTTTTACTTTTTGCAACACATTAGTGCAGAAAAATCTTACAAATTTCTAAGAGAAGATTAATTTCTCCCTTTCCAACATATAATTTTGAGCAAGAATATCTAACAGCTAATTTTTTTTTCTTGATACGGTTGTCTCATGAGAAAAACATCTTATTTCAAAATATCTTAATATTTTTAAGAAGCTTTGTGTGATATCCTTTAAAAATCCAGTTTTCACATGTGATAGGGTAGACAAAGCTAAATTTACAGTTAGTGAAGAACAAATTGAAGAAAGCTTTTGAAGTATATTTTTCTTTGGGTGAAAGACCAACAGAGACATTGTTAATTAAGCAAATATTTGTCATGAGATGTTTAAACACACTGCAAATTTTTTTTGAGTAATGAAGGATTATTTCTGCATGACATAAATAATTATTCACTACAACTTACCTATGGCTTAAAATACTTTCAGAGTTTGTTTTATTTCTCAAAATCTGGTCACTTGAGCTTTATATGTCTTCTGGTTTAAAAACAAAAGAGTTTCTCTTAACAGTATCTTCAGTGACAATGCAAGGTAAGTATATTAAGGAAAATCAACAATTGTGCTTGGGGACTTTTTGTCATGGGGATTAACACCCATTATTATTGTTCTGTTCTTTTTTTTAAATGTCTTCTGCAATTAAAAATTTAAACATTATAAGGTATTTTGTAGACAGACCAAACATAATTATATTTGTTTTTTTATTTTAAAATGAATGATTTTTTTCTCTCACCTGATCTAAAGATGAAAGCAAAATATCTTATGTGGAAATATTTTGATAATATTTTTAAAATGAACTTGCCCCTTGTTTTTTTACATCTTTTCTTTGCTACGTTTACTGTAGTTTGCACAAGAACTTCTCTCTCTTGTAATTGTGCCTCAGACTTCTTGAAAGTCCACAGTCTAAATTGCCCAGATGATCTTCTAGATTCTACATGTTACTGTTGGTTTATTCTTGAGCTTTCTGTATTAAAACTTTGGCTGTACTGAGCAAATGCAAGGTTATAAATTTAGCGAATAGTAGTTTGCAGACAATTCAGATGATTATGATTTCATTTGGTTTAACTAAGCTGTACTAGTCCATTTCATAAGGAAATGATGCTGTAGACAAATGTAAATAAAGCTTGTGGGTCAAGCATTGAGTGGTGTTTGTTAGAAATAAATTAGAATTTTTAAGCTCTGAAAAAAAAAGAAAAAAAAGGAAAAAAGAAAAAGAAGGAACTCCTACCTTTTGCAACATCATGGATGGAACTGAAGAATATTATACTTGGTGAAATAAGCCAGCTGGTGAAAGACAAATACCATATGATCTCACCTATAAGTGAAATCTAGTTAACAAAACAAGCTAATGAACAAAATAAATCACAGGCATGGAAACATGGAACAGAGTGAAAGCGACCGGAGGGGATGGGGAAAGAGGACAATGGTGGAAAGGAGAAGGGACTAAACATAAGCAAAGAACATGTATGAATGACCCTTGGACATGGACAACAGAGTGGGAATTGACTGTGGGAGCAGGGGGTGGGGGTGGGATGGGTAGACGGGGGTAAAGGGGGAAAAATTAAGACAACTGTAATAGAATAAACATGGCTTAAAAATAAAAGAAAAAAGGAAAAAATTAGTATATAAATAGCGCTAGGCATTAAGCAGTAAGTCACAAGCCAATTAGTTTAATTGCACCGTTGTGAATTGTAATGTGAAAGAGGTTTTGAAACCTTAAAATGAGTAACTGCTGTTTTTCCAATATGACTTCAATTTCTTTAAGAAAGTATTTAGTTTCCTTCTTCCCTGCAAAATGGTAAGCTCTGTTTATTTGACTAGCTGCCCAGTTAACATATTGTATGTTGGACTTTTTTGGTTTTGCACTTGCTTTTGAGTTAGAAACAATATGACTTGCCCACATATAAAGTCCAAACAAAGCTCTCATATTTCTTATGTTCAGATTTAATATTTGTACCAAACACTTTCTTAAAAGTTCAAGGTTTTTGGGTTACCTCGGGTATATTTAACCTCATTACAGTGCTGACATTAGAGGAGGTTGTGTTCATAAGTCATCCTAAGCTCCTCAAACAACAGGCTGCTTCAGCATAGTCACGTTTATTGGTATAAAGCGCTGCAAGCTCATGCCAGGCTTCTTGGTCTCCAACAAATTGTTCCAGACATGTATTCACTTCCTGAATGGTCTCCACACTTTTCCCCTGGGCTTTTCAAATAGCAGTGTTAAGCTTCCTTTCAGTAGTGTTAATTGGGCCTTCATATGCAATTTGATCATACAGCTGTACAGCATCATCCTTTCTTTCCATGACTTCAAATTCATGCCAGTTTGGTCACTTGACTCTGTGACTGCCAGAGAACTCTATTCTCAACTCCTGCAGAGAAAACAATGTCAAGTCATCCTGAGCATAGTTTAGGGCTGCAATCATCACCTGTTTGTATATGATCCAAATATCATTTCCAAGCGGAGTAGCATATTCATGAATTGATTCCTCTGTGACTTTAACAATTTGCTCACTATTCATGAGCTTTCCTTTCTCTATATTTTCATTTTCTCTTGAATTTTTTCCTAAGTAATGTTTTAAATTTCTGAGACCTTCCCCATATTCTTAGAATGTGAAATATTTTTAAAATGAAACTATCAGGTTCTGGTTATGTCTTCCTGTACATGTGTCTGCATTTCCATCTCTTCTGGAAATAATTAGAATTGGTTTATAAAAATTCCTCTGCTTAATTGGCTTACATAAAATAAGAACAATAACAAAACTAACCTAATTTCTAGTGCTTTAATTGACAACAATCCAACCATATGGGAAAATATATTTGCTAATGATACATCAGATAAAGGTTTAATCTCCAAAATATATAAAGATCTCACAGGACTCCACTCCAAGAGGACAAATGACCCAATCAAAAAATGGGCAAAGGACCTGGGCAGACACTTTTCTAAGGAAGAGATACAGAGGGCCCAGAGGCATTTGAAAGGATGCTCAGCATCACTAGCCATCAGAGAAATGCAGATCAAAACCACCATGAGGTACCACATCACACCGGTCAGAATGGCCATCATAAACAGATCAACAAACAACAGGTGCTGGCAAGGCTGTGGAGAAAAGGGAACACTAGTACACTGTTGGTGGGAATGCAGACTGGCGCAGCCATTGTGGAAAGCAGTGTAGAATTTCCTCAAAAAGATGAAATTAGAACTGCCTCTTGATCCAGTGATTCCCCTGCTGGGACTATACCCTAAGAATCCCAAAACACCACTTCAAAAGAACCTATGCACCCCAATGTTCATAGCAGCACAATTTACAATAGCCAAGTGTTGGAGGCAACCTAAATGCCCATCAGTAGATGATTAGATCAAAAAATTATGGTACATTTACACAATGGAATAGTATGCAGCAGAAAGAAAAAAAGAACTACTACTCTTAGTGACAGCATGGATGGAACTAGAGAGCATTATGCTAAGCAAAATAAGCCAGGGGGTAAAAGACAAATACCATGTGATCTCACCTATAAGTGGAACCTAATCAACAAAATAAGCAAGCAAGGAAAATATGACCAGCAACATTGAAAGAAAAAAGAAACCAACAGAGACAAGAAGGAAGGAGGGAGAGGTGGCTGAGGGAAAAGGAAGGGAAGGGTCAAGTCCAGGAACATATAGCAAGGACTCATGGACAAAGCCAAAGTGGGGAAGGATTGAAGGAGGGAGAAGAGGAAGGGGACAAGGGAAAGTGGTGGGCAGTAGGCGGAGAGAAATGTATTTGAAAAAATAAATAATTAAAAAAAAGAAATTTCAAATAAAAAAAGTAAAATGATGTTGTTTTTGTCAGAAGTATTAACAACATATCTAAAGGATGAATTGACATGCACAAAATTGATGTGTACATACATGATTGAAGTATTTTTGTGTTTCTAATGAGAATAATTGCAACTGTAATAATTGTGTGATCCTGATATAAAAAACAAATAAACAAACACACACAAAACAAATAGAACATGTCAATGCCCATTATATGTTATTCAGTCCAAGATCCTAGAAGTTTTGGTTTTTCTCAAACCAATCTTAATTAGTGTGTATGACCCAGACAGGGCATTTTTTTTTTATGTGAACATCTCCAAACTTTAGTAGATTTTTGCTCCCACTTAACGTGAATCATTAAATTATTATTTTGTGTTCGATATTCACACTGTGATCAAAGCCAGTTCCCAACTCCTCGTGTTAAATGTTCTTCCTTGTCTTTGTGACAACACTGGATCTTACAACGATAACCCCTGTATCTGTGTGTGCTGTTCAGAGTGATCACGGGAGGCTATGGCTTTTTTGGGCCAAGCAGAAAGCGTCTTTCTCAAACATTGACAGCTTCCTGTATAGAACTGAAGTCGTCTCTAAATTACACTCTTTGAGGCTACTTATTAAATTCTCACTATTATGCATTAGACAATATAAAGCCTTTCTTTTTGAAAGATGAGGATTCAGCTGCTTTTTATTCTACCACCCACTTGCATACACAGATATGCACATACCCACACTGCCCATCTTGTCTTTCCAGTATTTTTCTAAAGAAACATATTTAGTGTAGACTTTATTGTGCCCGTTTAATTCTATTCACATTTGAGCCAACTAACAGAGTTTTCTTTAAATTTGAATCTCTGAAGTACATCAGTGATGCAGAACCTTCCTCCTGTGAGTTGTAGAGGTGAGGGTGAGGAAGGTCTGCTCATTTGTCACTTGTAATAACACAAATAGCATAAAGCCCAAAACTTCCCCAATCTCTTCATTGCCCCTCCTGGTTACTTTGCATTGGTGCTGCCCTCTGGTGATCACATTACACATGGCAACTCCCAATAAGGTCAAACTATGTTTTCCAACCCGAGGTCACTCACTCCTAAGAGCCAAACCAGAAAAAGTGCCAGGTGAATGCAGGGATTTTTATTGATAAGTCATTAAGCGTTTCAGGGTGGGGAAGGCAGGGTACTAAACCTACCACTGGCTCTTCTTAGTGACTGTACAGATCGTGAACCCATGAAGCTGACTCTCCCCAGCAGGGCAAATGAATGTGTTCATCCTCCAAGTCAATTTCATGCCAAACTCAAGTCATAAAAACCCTACAGACTTACTACTAATGTCATCCATAATGGTTTGAACTGTAGGCTTTCTCACCAAAAATGACCAAATAGACAAGTTTTCTAAATGTCTTAGTAAGACACATGTGCTTTGAGGGGTGGAAATGGGTGCCTGCTAATGTTGATACTTTAAGACAATGATATTAGTGATACTGGTGACACCCAGGAAAGGTCAGCTGTAATCATGAGAAGTTTAAGTAAATCATCAGCTGTAGGAACATCTGCATTTGTGACCACTCAGGAATCTGCCACATCTAAAAGCCTTTTATGCCTCCAATAGTCTGGGACATGCTAGATGTACCCTTCAGAGTAAAGGACAAGTTGTTGCGTTTGTACCTTCATCTAATCAATGTTAGAAGAATAAAAGGTGCTTTGTGAAGTTCTGGTGAGAACTATGAAGAGAATCGCATGCAGACCTGTAGGCTTTGGGGCAAGGCCATGCGTTCTATAGTAATATTGCAATAGCTCCTACCTGGCTTTAAATTCCCAGAGGAGTAAAATTGTCTCAATACGGGCTGTAATGGGACAAGGTAGTCAGAACTCTTCATTATGATTTGGGTTTTATTGCACTTACCAACATAAGGTCACGTGGGTAAAGCAGCATTCATCGCAGATGGAAGTGATAGATCTGGATTTGACAGGAACATGTGGTCCTGTCCTTTGGTACCTACTGCTTCAGCACTGTGAGCTGTCCCATAGTGTTTGCCATGGAATCACAGAAATTCACTGTTACTAGTCAACAAAGGAGTAAAATCTCCACTCCAAGTTCATTCTGGCCCTCAGTTATCCCTCCCAACCACTGGACAGTTTTTGTCACACGCCAGGCTCCTAGTCAGCCTTACTGTCACATAAATCCACTAAAATATCACTAACTTGTTGACTCAGCTGAGGCACGTCATATGGTATGGGGTGAGTTTTAAGTATTCACAGCTCTCCAGGCTATGTGGAAACTGTGGCCCTCAGACCACAGTTTGAGAGTCTGCTGCACATGTTTCCACTGTGTCAGAAGAGAGACTGGACACCTCTGGTGTTCAGTCTGGTCCTCACCCTCAAGCCGGCCCTGCATCACCCACCTTTCCCAAGCTCCATCCCAACCCCTTTGTTAGTCTGACTGCCCTGCGCTTGAACTCCCTTCCTGACTAAATTGTGTTTATTCATGGTGTCCCCAATCTTACAAACCTTCATTGCTCTTCAGATTACTAGACCACAAAAGGATACTCATCTCCTTCTTTCCCTTGATTCTTATCCTGTAAGTCATGTTTCATAACTTTTCTTTCCTAGTACATCTGGTTTCCAGGACACTGAGAGCTCCCTGAGTTCCATGTCACAGGAGGCACAAAACAGAGTCTTCCAGTCCAAGCCTCTGGGGGGCTGATGTGACAGAGGCCTGCATGTTTACAGAGTTTCAGAGTTTCATGACAGAATACTTTTACAATCTCTGTAAACTTGTTCCTTGAAGGTCAGTGAAAATGAACGTAGAATGAGAACACTGTTGATGGTTAGGCTGCTGTAGAGGTGCAGATTTTTATACCAGAGCTTTTTCTTAGATTCTAAGACAAAGGCCATTTTGAATCAACCTTGTTCCAAGAACAGTCTGGGAAGTGAGGTCATGTTATGCTGTGGACACCAATTCAGGATGGAGGCAGGACAACTGCAAATGTGTACTTGAAAAATTTCAGCCTGGATTAAAAATATTTGGAAGATTTTACAATATGGTAAGGATGGATGCTGTGAGCAAGAAGACAGGATTAGGTGATAATAAGCAGGTGATATCAGAGTGAAACATGCATGAAACAAATTTAAGAGGCAAGAAACACTTTATTAAAAACCATGCATTAGCATAATGAGCCAGAACCCAATGCCTCTGAAACAGAAGGCTGTGGAAACTTTTAAGAGCAGGAGAAAGAATCAAAGACATCTCTGTTTGCAAATTGCCTTTACAGAGAAGGAAAGTAAAACTTTTTATAAAATCTTCCCAGGAAGTCTTTTGACCTCAGGGTTTTAAAGGTCCTCACCCAAGTTCAGCTTCTTCCTCCCACAGAGACTGAGACACAGAGATCCAGGAGGATTAAATTTTAAGGGATGGGCACAGGCCCTTGAGACAGATACTCTCTGAATCATAACACTGGCAAGAGAATTTTAAGGATATTCGTGTATTTCAAAAGGGGAAAAAATAAAAAAAGAATCTGCCATTACAAATTGCAATTGCATTTCTAAAGAAAATGCCCTAAAATATGGAGATCAAAGGTCTGCCATCAGGAAGAACCTGTCTAAAGGTTAGTGATTCTGAGGGAACATTAAGACCTTTAGGTCATAACAAACCTGATTTGTGCATAGTGGAGGGAAACACAACTGAATCTCTTTCAGCCAAGACCCATTTTGCATCTACGTAAGTTCCTGCAATTTATAGAGGTGAAAAATAAATGAAACTCCCTGCACAGAACCAGGATCTGATCTCCCAGAAGATGGTGCTTCTGGAGTTTTCCTTTCAGATATGATGTTTTTCTCTACAATCAACTTCTCTTTCATCAAAAATAATCACTAGGAAAAAGAAGTGTGTTCTTGATCCTACAGCATGGCCGGTGTCACCAGATTTAGCCTGATTAGTTACCTAATTGCAGAGGAGCTGACATTCACCAGTTTGCTTTGATGAAGGTTTTTCTATGAAACATATGATAGAAATTTTAACAGCCACTTGAGGTTAGGAAGCCTCATCCTCACACTTACCTCCATTTATCTAGATTTGGGTGGTATCCTCTTCTCCGAGAGGTACCAAAAGACCAAAGAGATCAAACTTAGCTCTATAAAGTGTGAGGTCTTTTCTAACTCCATGTGCAAGGTTCTGAACTAGAACATTTGTGCTAAAGTCTTGGTATTATTGCCAAAGCTTCCAATTATATCTTTTTAAGAAAAAGAACAGAAATGTACTAAACTGATATAAATAATTTTATTAATGTATAAGCAAGAATGCTCCAGAACCTTTAGAAATCTTTTGAAAGACATCAAAGAGAAAGATAAAAATCAATGTTGCTGCTCACACGGGTGCCCTCTTGTCCACTCTCATTGTCTACAACAGTGTCCAGGTGCCTCCATATGTTTGCATGGAGAAAGGACAGAGCTTAGACTCCCTAAGATCCCTACCTGATCCCATTGGTTATCATATGACCACTGCTCATCCTCAGAGAGACACAATGTCAGCGACACTGTGGCCATGGTACACATGAGACCAACCTGAGGTGGAGGTTGGTCTGAAATGTGACTTTAAGTCAAGAATAATGACAAGTCAGCTCAGATTTTTGACTATTTATTGACTCAATGCAAGTCTTAAAAGCTATTCATCTTCTGAACAAAGCTATAATGATGCAAAAAATCATCCTTTATTTAGAGTTTAACAACATAGATGGGGAAAGGAGAGTTACTCAGTTTTCACATCCAGCTTTACGTAAGTACTTTCAGTAGCACTGATGGGATTGGAGGCCTTACACTGGTAAATCCCAGCATCTTCCCTCTTGACGGGGTCTATTTTGAGTCTTCGATGGTCCAGGGTCAGCTTCATTCTCTCTGTGAACTGCAATTGTTTGCCATTGAACAACCACTGGATGTACATAGCATTTGAGTAGCAGGTAAAGACCACAGCATCCTTATTCTCTGTGACTGTGGTGTTAGTAGCTCGGAGGGCAGGCACTTTCACATGACCTGTGGAGAAACAGAGAATGGGATTCATTGAGAATGAACTTGAGACAAGGAGCCATGCTGCTTACCCAGGGACCTCAGCCTCTCACAGCTCTCAGTGACCTATGTAAAGGTCATCAGAGTAAGGTGCAGCACACAAACCCCCTTCCCAGCCCATGTGTCCTATAACCTCATCATCAGGTCGACTTTTTCTAGCATGAGCTTTTATTGATCTTTTTCTAGAACTTTTTTGACTTCAGAAAACATCCCACTACTTATGTAAACTTTTATATATGTTAGGAAAGGTAGGCTTACTACCTTTGTCCATCTCTAGAGCCAAGGGAGTTTACAGTATGTAGAAAAGCATTTAGATTTTGTTAAATAATTTATTATACAGTAAAGATGACTCAATGAAATCTTCATGACTGCAGACTTGGAGGATTTCTGTCTAAAACACTTCTAAGTCTGAACAAGATTTTATTTCTTTGTCTAATGATTCAATATCATGTTGAAATTAATATCTGGAAGGAAGTGGTTATGGTTTTAACACAAGATATTGGTTGTAGGGATAGAAAAAAACTATACACTGTAATAAAGGCCATACATAAAAGCCCAGAGCTAATGCAATATTCCATGGAGATACTAAAAGTTTTTACTAATATCATGAACAAGAAATGGATACTGTTTTTCCACATATTCAACAAAGTACTGGAAGTTATCCCAGAAAATATTTGGTAGTCTGAACTCTTAGAAAATGCATAGCCTCCAGCTAAATGTCTAGGGGGGGGTAACAGACTTTCTCTGGTGTCAATTAAGTATCAATGTTTGGTTATGGGGAGACATAAGACTGTGAGTCAGAGACACCACTGTACTTCTCCTAGTTCTTCACTGACCACCTGATTGCCTGGCTGACCAGGAGCTTTCCTTTCCAGCTATGTAGAATTCTATTTACCTGCTGAGTTGGGTTTCTACGAGGCACTATTTCCTAGGACATTGTGGAGACTGGGGTTTGAGGACCAGAAGCAAGCCAGCAGTAAGTTGCCTATTCAGGTCTCTGGGCCAAGAGTTGGGTCAGGTCTTTCCAGGTGAATGTGACTGAAATGAGCCAATGAGCCAATAAATGATAGACCATAGTTCAAGAAATGATGTAGGAAAGAGGAAAAAGGACAGGCAGAAGCTGATTATGGCAGCAGAATCCTGTGCTCTGCCCTTGATCATTAGTCATTCTATCTCCACTGAGAGCAGGTGAGGATGTGTGCAATTGCAAAAAGAGGGTCTTATAGCACATCAGGAGCATGGTCTTGCTGAAATTCTGGCTCTTGTGGGCAATTAGTGTAAGGTGGTGAAGAGATAGAAATTTGGAAAAACTTAAAATTCTCCTGTATGTGAAAATTGTTATTAACACCCAGAGCCTAAGACCAATTGCAAGAAAGATTATTTTATTAGAGAAAAGAAAAGGATCTGAGATGATGGTCTTTGTTCCTGGGGGCACAGAAAACCTGTCCCTCATGGCAAGAATTCAAAGGACTCTGAATTTTGAAATGAATTTTGGATCATTCATTCATTCAACTACCATTTATTTCTTCCTAATTCATCAAAAGGAACTGAGTGTTTGTTACATGTTGATTCCTGAGCTGATTTCAGGGGTAGAGTGGGGAGTGAGAAGGCAAAGTCCTTTCCTCTATATCTGCTGGGTGTGACTGCACCATAATAGGAAACGAATAAATAAGTGATGTGAAGGCCAGTGCAGGGAGGAGTGGAAAGGCCACCTGAGGGAGATGTCTGGGCGTTCTATGCAGTGACTCTGATTACTACTGCAGGTAATTTGGTTCTAGAGTAACATAGATTATTTCTCCATTTTGTTCACTCCAGAGAACAAAATGTAGTCCTATGAGCTGAGGACATCTAAGGATCTGAACCAACTTGTTGGTTGAGGAATCCAAAGACCCCCTCATAGGGCCCCGAAGGTAGAGAATTTAAGTCTATGGCTACAGACAGAACTCAAGTGACTCTGATCATCTGCTCATGGACTGTGTGACTAATTTAGTGACAGTATCTTCCTGCTTCTAAGTTTCTTCTCAATGCATATTTGGCTGCCAGTTTGTCAGTGTAGCAACTGTAAAATACATACAGTATCTGACCTAAATCTTGGGAAAGAAGAGCTGCTCAAATAAGAGGCATCCCTTACTGATCAAGTCCAAGAGAGAATCCCATATGCTCATTCTTGGTGAATGAGGACCTGCAGAGAAAACAAGTCATCATTGTTTTCTGTTTCTTTCTGGGGATGTGGACTTTTTTTTGAACCTAAGTCCCCCAGGACAGTTGGCTATATCGAAGGACATTGTCCATTTGTGCTCTCTAAAGTCAGACTCAGGTGATACCGAAATCTGTTCTGCCAGGAAGTGATTCTTGGGCCTGAGCCCTGACTGGTGACTGATCCGGGAGCCTTGTGACTTGGGCATCCGTTAAACCATTACACACTCAGCCTTTCTGAGGAAGCAACACCCAACTGGGCACAGCCTCATGAGGGTCCCTGGAGTCATGATCCCTGGCACAGGGTTTTTGGGAGGGATTTCTGAGCTGAGCTCTGTAGGAATTTAAGGGGGCCTTCAGACCATGCTCGGACTGAGTTCATAAGAAGGTGCTCAGGGAACTGGCCTGAGACTCATCTCCCTCTGCTGAGTTACCCGCATCAGAATAACCTTTCTGTCTGCAGTTACTGTCTGCAGGGCCGGAATTCGGGAAGGGAACTGAGATCTTAGGAAGTTTGTCTACAGTCTGTGTATCCTGCATTGAATGCCAAAATCCAGCCTGAAATAAATTGCAGATAGAAATGGAGGCAGAGTTGAGGTTAATCAGTTCTGTGTGCAAAGTAGAATTCCTGTCACCCAACACCCAGAGGTCAGGGAACAATCACTCACGGAATACATTAAGCTGTGCAAATCCTGTTAGTGTTTTGGAATCTTGCTGGACTGTTACGGAGTACATTCCTGTGTCTTTTATGGTGACATTCTTCAACAGCAGGGATCCATCATAGTTAATTGTCACTGGTCCGTATGCAGGACCTCTCAAATGGTATTTTGAAGTTGTTACAAGAAATGCAATTATACGATCTTTGTTCACACCTTCCCCTCTGTACCACATGACGCGTTTAGCCTCGGGAGGCATATTACGGATACGTAGATGCACATCCTCCCCTTCCACAGCATTTTTTGTCCAAATAGCTGGTTGGACTGTGGTGGGCAGGCACCAGAAGTTTAAGAGTGAGCCTAGGAAATAAGAAAAAGAAATTGATCAATATTAGTGTCTATGCATCGGGTTGGAAACATGAGGCCATGAATCCTAAGCAGGCCTCCACTCAGCCTTCGTCTGCCTGAGAGTGTGTGTCTCCCAAGGTCAACATCGACAGCATGGCCACATTTGCTTCAGCACCTCTGAAGCTGTTACTTTTTCTGTTTCAAATGCTCTTCTCCACATGTTTGTCTTACCCCCTCACTGTGTTCAGACCCCTTCTGACACTCAGGAGCTCTATTGAAAGACAACTTTGCTGACCACCTTCTCTAACAATCCTGTGACTTCACTTTCTGATCTGCTCCTCCTCTGTTTTTTTTTGTTTTTTTTTTCATGTCACTTGTGGGCACCTGACATCACATCTAGACCTTTCCTTGTCTCTCTCTCCTCCATAGAACACGGGGTGGATGAGAGCAGGGCTTGTCTGACCTTGTACCTCCAGTGAGGGCAGCAGCCTGAAAATACATGGGGCTGAATGAATGAGTTTTCCAAAGGTCTGGTAAATCATGGGGTGTATTTGCCCATCTCTTAGGCTTGTGGTGAAGACAATGTCTAGCTCCACTGGTTAAAGATTTTCTGGTATTTCCTGATATAAATCAATATTATTATCAGTTTTCATAATTCAGTACTCAATCATGAATAGCAGGAAATGAACCACAACTTAGAGTTTTCTGCCTCCCACTTTTTCTGGATTATGAGATTTTCCTCTTGCTGAACTCCCTTCCCCTCCTACTCTGCTCTGTTGTCCTTCACCCTCAAGTACAAACAGAATCCTTTCCTCTTTTCTAGAGCACTGATCTCCTCAGCAGATCCCAGCTGATCTCTGTGGCAGATCCTTAGTCTATCCCAAGGAATTGTCTCCTACTTACCAACCAGCAGGAGCCCTTGCCAGTGAGCAAGTCCTCTGCGGGGAGAGACTGAAAGGGATCCCATGGTGGCTGCTGCCTGCCCTGTGGCTCCCTCTCTGAGAAAAGCTTGAGGATCTGTGAGGCTCTCAGGCACCTGCGTCCAGACTGGTGCAACCTGCTGTGTGTCCTACCTGTGCGCTGAGCTTTATTCTGGAGCAAGATTACGATTCTTGTCACGTGAGCTGGGGGCAGGGTTTGCACACAGGACCCTGCCACTCCCTGCCCTCATTTTTTTCCCTTTGTTCCCCAGGACACATGACATAGGCCCTTCTAACCAGTGCTGCTCCCTGCATTCTGCTTCCTTGAGAACTCCTGAGGTGTCTCAAAACCACAACGCCGTGCAGAAGCACACAAGCATATAAACTCTCATGCTGTGTTAGCGAACGTACAAGCCTGGGGCTTCTGGATTTCCCCACAGCTTCCTGTCAGATGCCCTGTAGCCTTTCCCACAGCCTCTCTCTTTCCCGTTTGACTTCTCCCCCTTCCGAGCAGGAGTTCTTGAGCTCACTCAGAGAAACCTGTCACAAGGATATATCACCTCTGCTGTGCATCTGATTATCTGCGAAACATTGTAAACATTGTAATACCCAGGTGACAACTTAAAAATGCAGCCTCAGCAGCTGTCCAGCTAATGTGGGCACCCATTCAAAATGAGATCCCCTCATGTGAGGGTAGAACCACTTCTCCAGCTCTCCTGCACGGGGGGAGCCTTCAGATCCCTTTAAACTGCGGATTCCGACTGGGGTGCAGTGGGTCACAGACTCTGCATCTGACAAGCTCTCAGGAGAGGCTGGTCCCACTGGCCTGGGGAGCTCACGTGCAATCGCACGGCTGAGGGGGGCGCCTGTGTCGTTGAGAGGATGGCCCCCTCGCGCCAGCGTTGGCCTCTGCTGCGTCTTCATCCTCACTCTGTCAGCACCGCACAGGGAGCCTTGGGCATCCTAAAAATATCTGGAATATTTCTGTTTATGACACAGAAACTGAGCTTGGCACTGGGTCCTCTCCATGTTGTCAAATGCTCTGAGAAGGGTCTATTTGCTCCCAGCAGGAAGGTCACAGCCACGACTATGGCCGTGAAAAAGATAAAGCCTTGTGAAAACTGCAGTGGGGACCCTTCTTCTATCGCAGGCTGTCACCAGACAGGATTTTACTTACAGGGGCAAAGACTGAAAACAAGGAGCCACAATAGGAGGTATAGATTTTGGGTATGAAATGGGAGGTGTCCTGCATGTCCAGGAAGAAAGGACTGCGGTGAAAGGTGAGGTACCTGGGGGCTTCCTGATTCTCAGGGGACAGTTTAAGGCAGATCATTCCTCTCCATGTCCATTTGTTAGACATGTCCTTGTGCTCTCTGGCTGTTGGGACAACATCTGAGTTCTGTCTGGGTGGCTTTCTTGTGGGTACCTTGCCTTGCCCATGGATGAGGCCAAGCATGGGGCACAGAGGGGTAAAGAAAACCCTGAGGGAGGAGGTTCTGCTAGACCCTGTCAGAGTAGAAAAAGTCCACACCTGGAGAGCAATTTAATGAGATTATCTGAGCCACAATGACCATAATGACCTTCCTCCTCGAATTCTGTGAAGAAAGGTAGTTTTGCAGCATATTTTATACATTATAATCAAATCAGAAGTTGAAATAAGTTGCATAAAATCATTTAGGAGATGGGAGAAAATATACCAGGGAAATATCTAGAATTAGAAAAAAATGCAAAATGGAGACACATATTTTTTACATTGGTGGGTACAGTATAATTAACATTTATGGACACAGAGAAGCTATGTAGGGGACCAGATAATATAAAGTGTTCTGTGGTCTCATACACTAGTCCCAGACTCTGCTTCTGAATGGTCCTGCAAAGAAAATCACTCTGATATGTCAAAGTAATGCTAGCCAAGATGGGAAAAAAAAAAAGAAAAAGATCAGGGCTTACTAAAGTTAAAGACCGACCCTTGCTAAGGAAAATAGAGGCCTGGGATGTGACAACCTGCTATCACTTGCCCAGTTAGAAATTTCTCCTCAGAGTGTCCTGTGGGGCTTTCAGTCCTGCCCTGTGGCCCACTGAGCTTGTTAGGTTATTGCACAATCTGTTTTTGCTTAGAGTCTCTAAAGTAGCAGGTTGGACAAGCAGTCATGAGGCAGGGCCCCAAGAAAGACCTGTTGAAATAGGGGATGAAAGTCAGGCTCCTTATCCATCTTCTTCTTCTTCTTCCTTTTAATTGTTGTTCAAGTACAGTTGTCTCCATTTTCCCGCTACTAATTTCCCCAGCCCCACCTACTCCCACTTCCCACCATCGATCCAACATCCCTTTGGCTTAGTCCATGGGTCCTTTATACATGTTCCTTGATCACCCTTCCCCTCTTCCCCCAATATCCTCTCACCCCTCCCCTCTGGTTACTGTCATTTTGTTCTTTATTTCAATGTCTCTGGTTATATTTTGCTTGCTTGTTTGTTCTGTTGATTAGGTTCCACTTATAGGTGAGGTCATATGTATTTTTCTTTCACCGCTGGGCTTATTTCACTTAACACAACACTCTCCAGTTCCATCCATGCTGTCATGAAGGGTAGGAGCTCCTTCTTTTTGCTGTGTAGTAGTCCATTGTATAAATGCACCACAGTTTTTTGCTCTACTCATTTACTGGTGGGCACTTACGTTGGTTCCAGCACCAGTCTATTGTAAACTGTGCCGCTGTGAACATTGGGGTGCAGAGGCTCTTTTGAACTGGTGTTTCAGGATTCTTTGGGTATAATCCCAGCAGCGGTATTGATAGGTCAAAAATAAGTTCCAACTTTAACTTTTTGAGGAAACAACTCCATGCCAGGAAGACAATTAATTCAATTAAAAAATGGTCAAAGGATCTGAACAGACACTTCTCCAAGGAGGACATACAGAAGGCACAAAGACATAGGAAAGGATGCTTAGTATCACTAGCCATCAGAAAAATGCAAATTAAAACCATAATGAGATACCACTTCACACCAGTCAGAATGGTCCTCATAACCATATCAATGAACGACAAGTGCTGGAAAGGTTGTGGTGTAAAGGGAATCCTAGTACATTTTTGGTGGGAATGTAGACTGGTGCAACCAACTGTGGAAAACAGTATGGAATTATAGCAACAAGAAAAATAAAGTACCTAGGAATAATTTTTTTAAATTTTATTTTAATTTATTTTTTCAAATACATTTGTCTCTGCCAACCCCCCACCACTTTCCCCTGCCCCCTCCCTCCTTTCTGCCCTCAGCTCTTCCCCTTTGGTTTTGTCCATGAGTCCTTGCTACATGTTCCTTGACTTTCCCCTTCCCTTCCTTGTCCCTGCCCCCTCCTTTCCTCTAGTCTCTGTTGATTTCTTTTCCTTGCAGTGTTGCTGGTCTTATTTTCCTAAGAATAATTTTAACCAAGAAGATAAGCACCAGTACTTAGAAAACTATGCAACACTGAAGAAAGAAATTAAGGAAGACATAAATAAATGGAAGCATATTCCATGTTCATAGATTGGAAGAATATACATCATCAAAATGTCTGTACTACCCAAAGCAATTTATTGATTCAATGCAATCCCTTTAAAATATTAATGACATATTTCACAGATATAGAACACTTCAAAAATTTATATGGAACCACAAATAACCCCAAATAGCTGCAGCAATTTTGAGAAAGAATAACAAAGTAGGAGGTATCACAATACCTGATGTCAAATTGTATTACAAGGACACTGTAATCAAAACAGTCTAGTACTAGCATAAGAACAGACACATAGATCAATGGAACAGAATAGAGAGCCCAGAAATAAACCCATGTCTCCATGGTCCTTCTCCATCTCCTTAGCCAAAGCCAGGTTCATGTGTCTATTTCCTGTGAGTTTCCATGTTGCCCTCTAGAAGACACAGTCGGATCTGCAGCCAATGTCAGGTGCTGCACAGGGATGCTAAACAGTGCAGGACGAGCCCAGTGAAAAGGCAGGCATTGTTCAGAGTACTATGAATCAAGCATCAGGAGAACTGTCCCAGTTGGTGGATATACTGTCTCAGACAGAGCTCTCTGCTTTCAAGTGTCTAAAGGAATGGCCTGGTGAAGTTTTCCTGAGGTTTTTGGGAGAGGTTGCTGGCCTGGAGGGTTGAACCCAAAATGTCCTGTGTGTCCTCCATCACTACATTGGGGTGTTGCATGTAAGTCATTTTTGTGTCCTTGTCTGTGCCCAGGGCCCAGGAGGTAAAGCAGCTGCACCATGAATACTCATGAATACTCAACCAGTAGCCCTGTGTATTCTTTTGTTAGCGGAAGAGAGGTTGTCATAGAACCCTGAGCCCCTCTGAGATGGAAGCCACCAGAGATTCCGGGTCCTCCTCTCCCATTCTGCTCAAGAAATTTCCTTTGTTCCCCAGGACATCATGACATAGACAAATGTGCTTAGAAACAAAAGGCAGATGTCCAAAAGACCAGGAATTCTGAGAATGAAACGTCATCCCTCATTCCTATAAGGTCAGGTTGTTCTTTTCACTTCCCTGGTAGCAGTGTTACTAGGGGTTGAAGATCCAGAGATTTTATCAGGTCAGGCACCTGTGAGAATAAGAAGAACACAGGCCTGGGGCAGGTGAGACATAACTCACAGGAAAGGTCTCTGGAGGGCTGTGATTTTGGGAGAAATAAGTTGTGGTCCAACCCACACTGTTAAGGAGGATTCTTCCTTTCCTTTCAACTGTGTGAGAAGTAAAAACTTGACCCTAGGATGTCCCCAAGCAGGTAAAGGCCTCCTATCACCAATGACTTTGTGTCTATAAGGAATATAATTTGACTGCAGGTGTCACACAGAGTGACAGGCTTCCATGATGTGGTTTCCCCTAACAATTTAATAATCGTTCACAGACCATCTGTGATGTGTCAGGCTCTTGGCTGAGCCCTGGAAACTCCAAGAAGAGTAAGACATGTGTAGGCCTTGTGCTTATTCAGTTTGCCTTGTAAGAGAGACCCTTTTCAGGTAAATCACGGCTCTAAGGAGTTCATTATAATCCAGCCAACGCCCATGAAGTAGAACTTCTGGTGCATACACAGCACATACTTGAGTGAGTCTCAGCTGGTGTCAAGATCACAGAGAGCACTTCTGACAAAGGACTCTTGGCTGAGACCTGAAGAGCTGGTGGCCCTTTTCCCCTTGAGGAACAGAGAGTGTTAAAGAAAAAGCTGCCTACAGAGGACTGGCCTTTGGGGTGCTGACGCTTGGCTGGTTGAAGGAGTAGACAGAGTCCACTGTGGGGGGCTTGAAGAGTTAGCAAGACTGTGTAATGATAGTGGTGAGGTTGGGCCCTGCTGGGCCGCGGATGCTGCTCAGGTGGGGATAATTGTGCCCGGAAAGGCCCCAGCCTGCAGAGTAATTCTGCCATCCCTGGTGGACAAGCAGAAAATGGGCTAGAAAATGTCATGTTACAGTTAGGTTTTTAAAAATTTTATACTTTCTATTCAACCATATTTTAGGCAACATTTCATATACATAAACAATTTAAATATATTTAGTGAACTATAGTTTAATATAATAAGCTTAACATATTGAAAGCATACAATTTATGAATTTTTTTCCAGATGTATGCACCAGAGAATTTGTTACAAAGAAATTAAAGATCATGTCCCTTACTGTTAAAGTCTTTTCATGCCCTCTTGTGATCTCTTTATTCTTTTCTCTCTGTCTCCTTTTTTAGTGTTAAGGAAACTCTTATCAGTTTTTCTTTATTATAAATTCATATACATTTTCAGGCTTTTCCAAATTTTTTAAATCATAAAGTATGTAATTTCAGGCCAAGGTTGGTTTCTGGACTCAACATGATTATTTTGATATAGTTCTTTCTTTTAATACTCTAGTTATATCTCATTATTCCAGGGATGCATTAATTTTGATTATCTATTTACCCTT